CTCAAATTATACAAATGTATGATGGTAAGCCTAAGCCAAAGTTTTCACCACATCAATAATTGATTTGTCTTGTTATGTCTCGTTATAATGGCTATAAATTCCGGGAAATTTTATGCAACCTATTTTTTTAACCGGGAATCGGGATGTCTCATCTCGTCTCGGACAGTCGGACTCTTGGTATCGTCCCAGAATTCCTAAGGAGGGCTGAAAATTTTACCGGTTTTTATTGCAAACCGGGAATCTGGGACAGAGCCTGTTGTCTTGGATTAACAAAAAATACCAAATGCGGGAGTCTAGTCGACACTCTAGTCGACACTGCCGGCGCCGGGCCGGGCGGGACCGGGCGTCTGCCTGTAGCTGTTGACTTCTGAGTGAAGTGCATTATTATAAATTATAACTTTATCACTCGCTCGTAAGCTAATTTATAGAGCAGATAAATGGGATAAAATTATTTAACTATCGCAGTTAAGTAAAAATAGAAGAAAAATTCGCAGAGCAAATTACCCGAAGTCCAATGTCGACCGCAGCATAATCTCTTTCTCTGCTCACGAGTAAAACTTAAAAGCTTCTACTTTTAGAGCTGAGGGAGCTCAGAAGACTCGTCCAAGGTAGCCCACCGAGTCACCGACAGAATAGTGCTTAGGATTTGCGCAAGTCAGCGCAACAGTGGGCAAAAAGACAGAGATAAGAACTTAAAAGCTGAAGTCGCCAAGGTGGCGAACGAATGATCAACTAAAAGCCGCGGCTGAACGAATTCCGCAAATTACGCATGGAGTAAAGTTTAACGGTTTTGAATACCATGAAAAATCCTATGCTGAAAAATTAAGCGCTGAAACTACGCATATCTGTGCATTCGAAATAAATTGGCAAATTACGAGTTATACGGCTTAACCTAAACGAGTCTTGGTCAATGCAAATTTAATAATCAGCCTGAAGAATGCCGGTCGCTTCTCCGTATATTCGTATAACTCGCGAACAAAGGCAGAATCGAAAAAAAATTGTCACGAGCTAAATATCACCCTTGGGAAGTTAGGTATTTATATGCCTAGTTTAATTCAAATCTGTGCAGTAATTTAGAAGAAATTACTTATTCTCTGCGAATTTGAGCACGTAATGCTGTTTAAATCACGAACGAGGGTGATATGAAAAAAATCGCAAACGAAGGCAAAATCTACAAAATTTTTACGAGCAAAATTTTTTTAACTCCTGCGCTTCAGTGACACTAAAACGCCTGCGCTACAGAGACACTAAAACTCTTGCGCTACAGTGACACCAAAACTCTTGCGCTACAGTGACACTAAAATGCCCGCTGCGCTACAGTGACACTAAAACTCCTGCGCTACAGTGACACTAAAACTCCAGCGCTACAATGACACTAAACCTCCTGCGCTACCGTGACACTAAACCTCCTGCGCTACAGTGACACTAAAACGCCTGCGTTACAGTGACACTAAAACTCCTGCGCTACAAGCGCTACAGTGACACTAAAACGCTTGCGTCTCAGTAACACTAAAACTCCTGCGCTACAGTGACACTAAAACGCCTGCGCTACAGTGACACTAAAACGCCTGCGCTACAGTGACACTAAAACGCCGGCGCTACAGTGACACTACAACTTAAAAATATCGATCGTGGTACGCAAGATGCTTTCGTGTGGTAGGCTAACACTTTTGATTCCATAAAACGATTTTCAGGTTGCTATTTTTGACATAATAAAAATGCTTACTACCTAGTACAAGATGTTGCCCAATGATGCATGTTACTGCTTAATCGAGCCTACGGAGAACTTTATAAGCTCCTGGCTACGAGCAACTGCTGTGTTCCCTGCTGCACTAATAACTACGTGTCCTGCTATCTTAAGTTCTGTTAACTGTCATAATAAGGATTGGGTTAAGGGGAGCATCTAGCCAAAATTTTTGTAATATGGGCGTTTCTGGTTTTAGTCTCATCTTAAAGCTGCCATTCTGCTCTATACAACGGTACCAAAATCATCTCTTTACATTGAATTATGCGTTCAGGACAGATCATGAAAGGGGGGAGTGTGGTGGAGTTCTTTAACAAATTAGATAGGAGTTAATTCGGTTCATAGCATTTCAAATACAGTGCCTGCTTGACTTGAGGAACAGCTCAGTAATCCGCCTGGCTTCGCACGAGGAGGTGTGCATGCAGTCGCTCCCACCATCCTTGAGTGGAATCGAGCTCCAGTAACGTTCAGTTTCGTATCCTTGCTGCATCGAGTGCCTATTGCAATGCGCGCGGGACTTTGTCGGGCTGTACTAAACATTCACACTTATTGTCACGGCAAACCTATTTTCTCCTACAGTTTTGAAGCTACAGCGATCAGACATATACCATTCGATTTGCAATTAAAATATCTATCGATTTATCTTGGCATTTTTTCAATTTCGTTATAGTTTGAAAATATTTTGAAAAAAATGGGGGGAAATAGGGGAAAATCGAAAAAATTTCGAAAATTTTGCGAAAAATGCTCCCCCCATCCACCAAAATTCGAATTACGAAAAACGCCAAGATAAATCGATAAATATGGTCTTTATGCATCGAATGATAGGTATGTGTCTCAATGTTGTAGCTTGAAAATCCTAGTAGGAGATAGATTTCTACAGTACCCCCTTTTATGATCGTTTTCTAAGAATTTCATGTTTTCTTTCAATTTTGTCGAAAAATGGACATGAATAAAAGCTGTCCATTTTTCGGTTTTACAATGGTGTACCAAGTTTCTAAGTGATCCATCAGTAAACAGACGAGAAAATAAAGTGGCCAGACAACTGCTATCTTGAGTTGTCTTAACTGTTATCTTAAGTCGTTTTAACTGCAATATCTTAAGTTGTCTTAACTGATATCTTAAGTTGTCTTAACTGCTATATCTTGAGTTGTCTTAACTGCTATCTCTTAGGTTGACTTAACTGCTATCTTAAGTTGTGTTAATTAACTAAAATATCTTAAGTCGTCTTAAATGCTATCTTAAGTTGTCTTTAGTGCTATATCTTAAGTTGTCTTAACTGCTATATCTTAAGTTGACTTAACTGCTATTTTAAGTTGTCTTAACTGCTATATCATAAGTTGTCTTGACCGTTATCAGAAGTTGTGGTAACTGCTATATTTAAAGTTGCCTTAACTGCAATCTTAAGTTGTGTTAAAGGCTATATCTTAAGTTGTCTTAACTACTGTAACTTAAGTTGTCTTAACTGCTATATCTTAAGTTGTTCTAACTGCTATCTCAAGTTTTCTTAGCTGCTATATCTTATGTTGTCCTAACTGCTATCTTACGTTTTCTTAACTGCTATATCTTAAGTTGTCTTAACTGCTACATCTCAAGTTGTCCTAACTGCTAATTTAAGTTATCTTAACTGCTATATCTAAAGTTGTCCTATCTGCTATATCTTAAGTTGATTTAACTGCTATCTTCAGTTGTTTTAACTGCTATCTTGATTTGTCTTAACTGCTATATCTTTAGCAGTCTTATCTGTTATATCGTAAGTTGTCTCAACTGCTATCTTAAGTTGTCTTAACTGCTATGTCAAGTTTTCTAAACTGCTATCTCAAGCTGTATTAACTGCTGCCTTAAATCATGTTACCTGCTATCTTACGAATTGCGTTCTCTTCTATCTTACGAATTGCGTTACCTGCTTTCATATGAATTGTGTTATTTACTAAAAAACATATACTCGTTAAACCCCACACTCGAAAAAAAATCTTTTTTTGGCAATACAATTAATATAAATGCGTGTAAAATTATCTAATGTACAGAGCTATCACTTATTTGATTTATTTATGTAATTTCTCATATCGGCTTGAATTTATAAAAAAGCTACATGAGAAGAAGTGAAACAATGATGGATGAATGAAGAAGTTTTAGATTCTTTGGAAAATCTCTGGCGGAAGTACAAAGCATGAACGTGAAATGCATGAAAAATGTAAGGATTGTTCCAATGCAAGCGTACAAGCGATCTTGTACCCGCCACCCGGAGTAGCATATATGTAGAATATGGAGAGCGTTGAGTCCGGGGGCCATACTTTCAAATCTCGCTAAGTGAACGTAAGTACTTACGCTCTATTTTTGTCCATGATTGGTGGATTTTGCGCGAAAGGTCGTCAATGATTTGCTGAAGGACTTATGATCTCTTAACTTTTTTGAAAGTATAGGCCCGGGATACTAAGGCTCCGATAAACTATCTGCATGAGATTTCGAATCATTATCAAGGCTTGCGGCGAGCCTTGCCTACACCGTGGGCGGGCTACACGAGCTGCACCGGAATCCTGTTCATTTCGTTTCTTATTCTCCGAAACAGAAAATAATTTGTGATTGATTCCTGACTTATTTCTCACTCTTAAATAATTCCAGAAAGAAACGATTGTGCTCATAAGAAAATATATCATCATATGGAAAAGTTATACATGGGTCTCCGAGGTCTATTGAGCCACTAGTGAATCAAAAATTTGCCAAATATTATTTGATTTATATGATATTTTTATGACTGAATTTTTGATGAGACATTTTGTGTTTGAAGACTCCGGACGGAATTGGCATCGCGAACCCCTGCGAAACTTTAATATTGTTTGTTTTATCAAATTGTAAAGAAAAAATTTACGATACAAAAGTGATTTTACCTACTAAGAATAAGTTATATTTTTTCATTGCTGTGGAAAAATTGCGGAAAAACATGCGATACTTATTACAAATCAAGGTTGTAGAGAAAATAAAAATGTCATTGACAATTTGTAGACTAAACCGAAAAGGGGCAAAACAGAGGATCTCACTTTGCGATTTTTGTAATGTGGAACCAGCAAATGAAAGCTGTAAATGAGCAAATATACTTTAATTGATCATCGCGTATAATTAATTTTGCTATAATCCTAACATTGATGATCACATAAGCTAATTCTTCTGTCTGCATAATGATTCATATTTCATATACGGTACCGAAGAAACAACTCAATTTAAATCCTATATTCCTATTGTCGTTAGTGTGCTGCTAGACTTGGTGCTGAGTGGGTGTGGCGTAGGCAACGCGGCGCGATGTTGCTTGATCGTTAGCTTTCTTCTCATTGCTCAATGTGAGTATCCAGATTCACTATCCTACGGTTTTTTTATCGTGTTCAATTTGATCTACCATCACGTGTGAATTTAAGCAGCTCAATGTTTGATAAGTTCAAGGGAAATTAGATTTTATCTTCTTAGGGAAAGAGGAAAGATAATTCCTTTCGAAAAGTTAGCTCTCCGGATTGAAAGATGGGATGCGATTTGCCGGCCGTGGTGCATTGAGAGATTTCGCTTTAGGCTGGAGAATCGTGCTTTTATGCCCATAATATACGTAACTAATCACACTTCATGCAGTATTCTTAATTCAACATTGAAAATTCAGAATGTCAGTCAATTCTCTTTTGAAAGAAAATGTGGCTTCTGAAATCTGCCTAGTAACAATTTGTAGTGGTGGTAATCATTTATTTCATGGGTATTGGTTACCAGGTAAAAATAGCTTAGCTTTTTTTATGATTGCCTATTCAGTTTATTTTTCTCGGTCGTTTCAATTTTTGACGGTAGTCGTGAATGTATCATTAGCGCCTCGGACGTTCTGAAGCGACGATGGTTCATTGCCCGTTGGCGTGGCCCGTGGCACCGACCTCGACAAACTATTAACTGACTATTTTTTCTTTTGCAGTTTGCACTATATTTCCACCCAACAAAATAACTGGAGAAAGAGAAATAAATTTTTGGCTGGTCATCCATACATTTTCTTAAGTTCGAAATTTAGTGGTGGTCTCCAAATGGGGGATAATGGCACATATCATCTACTTAAGATGCCATTCTTGGAAAAGTTCCATGTGCAAACCAACATTGCATGTAGTACATTCTTTTCTTTCAGTTCTCCAGCACGCTGCACATTTCCTCTGATTACCATTTTCTGTTCTTTCAACGTAGTGAGCATTATTTTCTGATGTCACGGTTGATTGATGACGTAGAAAATCTACCCGATCTAACATTGATTTTATCTATCAGCGACTAGATCCAAAGTTAAACCTCATATATTCACTCAACCACGTGGATCTTGGATGGATCGACAGGCCACATCAGGCCTACACTTCAGCGCCGAGATCACTATGTTAATACGACACGGCCCTTGCGGAAGCACTCCATTCAAGAAAGCAAACATTTACCTATTTCATCTACCGTAAACGAGTCAGAATTTAAAGTTACAGTTGATTTTTACATCGAAAATGGTTGCACGCACATTGTACAGGTTCGGGCTCTTGCCAAAAAATATTACGACAGAGTACTCTGAAAATCGTTAAATCATTGTATGATCTCCATGTCATTAAGCGATGTTTGATTAAGAGATTGATTCTCTAGATACGTTGTGCGGGAACTTTGCGCGAGCTTGTTGATGTCGTGGCAGGCAAAGTTCCCTGTCCCTGTGCAACTCTGGCCTACCCAGGGGTGTGCTGCCACCGCTGCCGAGCACTTCCGTGTGCTGCCACCGCTGCCGAGCACTTCCGTGTGCTGCCACCGCTGCCGAGCACTTCCGTGTGCTGCCACCGCTGCCGAGCACTTCCGTGAGCCTCCACCACTGCAGAGCACTGTCCCGCGTTTCTAAGCGCTGCCACTGCCACGTGCTTCCCTACGCTGCCACTGCCACGTGCTTCCCTGCGCTGCCACTGCCACGTGTTTCCCTGCGCTGCCACCACCACGTGTTTCACTGCGCTGCTACTGTCATTTCGAATTTCCTAAATAAATAACATCAAGTTTCGGTAATTTTGTGGTTTTTCAAGTCTTTCGGATCGTAGCTTCATTAATGCTTGCAACATGCCTCATTTTGGTTGACGCCTGAGGCAGTTTTAACGTGTACCGGTACACTTGATGTGAAACTAATGTCGTTCCTGCTGCTTCGCTTCACCCATTTTTTTCAAGAATTTTCGTCAGTTCGCTGTATGACTCCACGACAGCAGCAACTCCAAGGATGCTGAAGAGGTTTCGTGCAAGATCCTGTTTCATCGCAATCCTCGACTATTCTACTTAGATTGTACAGATAAACTTTTGAAGATTCTTCGGCCTATGCAGTTTAGCTTTGGAATAATGATGGGGTAAAGCCTCGTACAGAAGCTTATAGTCTGAGTACGGCCGGGACCTTTGGACGTAGCGTGGACACGTTAGCGTTTTGGTGTCGTTTGCGATTCGCGAATTTTTCGTCTCTGATGATCTTATAACGCATCGATTAATTTTCCTTTAACTTACAGTATTTTTGTGCCATTCATAACCACCATTTTTTAATACTTCAGAATTTGCAGGTCAGACATACGCGGGAGCGAGTTGTGCTCCTTTGCCTCTTCACGTGCAGTGATGTGGATTTGGGGCTAAATAGAGGCAGTTCTATTTAGCCCCAAAAAGAAGAAGGCAAAACTTTGTTGATCAACGAAAATCTACATTTATATGTTCAAGCGAAGACAAGTTTGAAAAACCTCGTTAATCACTCATAATCAGATTTTTTTGTTCATGCGAAGACCAATTTGGAAACATTCGCCTGCTGCCTCACAGAATGTTATCACACGTCGCATGCGCAGCATTATACATCGTGCGCTAGTCGTGCTGGCTATTGGTTTAGCAGCTTTATAGCTTAATATATCCGGTCTCATATATAGAGTCTGTTTAGAGTTAAAATTGACGTAGCAACACCAACTGTTATCTCCTCTGATAACTCATGGTCGTAGAAATTGACACGTCCACAGACACGTCCATCAGACACGTCCATCAGACTCGTCCACAGACACGTCCATCAGACACGTCCATCAGACACGTCCATCAGACACGTCCATCAGACACGTCCACCAGACACGTCCACCAGACACGTCCACCAGACACGTCCATCAGACACGTCCACCAGACACGTCCACCAGACACGTCCACCAGACACGTCCATCAGACACGTCCATCAGACACGTCCATCAGACACGTCCATCAGACACGTCCACCAGACACGTCCATCAGACACGTCCAGACACGTCCATCAGACACGTCCATCAGAATTTCGAAGTTCTGCTAAGTTGTCTCAAATTACTGGAATAAGCTAAGTTTGTTTAGAATTGATCTTAGCGTTTTGTTAAGACTAAAGTTATTGTTTTTCCCACTGCTGTAGCGGGGGTCGAGGTCGTTGTTTTAATAACGAGGCTGGCATGAACGTGTATTTGAGCAGAAAAATTCCATTGCAAATGTTTATTAACCTTGTCTAATTTATTGTATTCCGTGTGAGATTCAAAAAACAAGAATGAATATTCGAGATGAAGATATCATACACATATTTGTATAGCATAATGCACCTAATTTTCAACAGTTTAACCGTGACTCTGTGGTAGAGTAAAGAATGATCATGCTTTCCTAATAGCTGAGTTGCCTCTCAATAATTGACATAACATCAGGCGAAGTGATATAATAAGAGCGTCATTTTTAAAACGTCTTAGAATGAAAAATCCTGTGGAGGTAAGGTGCAGTGCCAAGGTCAGTTCTCTTTAGCAACCGAAGTTATATTGCTTTAGACAGGTATTATTTTGGTGGCTTGCCGTTAATCACGTATTTTGGAAAACATCCTTCAGTCGATTTCCAACCTCAGTTCATTTTGGACCGGCTTTTATACAAATCATTGCGTTCTACTCTCTTTTTGTAACAGTTCTACTTGTACAGTACTACCAATTGCACCCAAGTTGTAACAGTACTACTTGTACTCGAGCTGTGACAGTAATACTTGCACTCGTGCTGTAACAGTACTACTTGCACTCGAGCTGCAACAGTACTACTCGCACTCGAGCTGTAACAGTACTACTAACAGGACTTTAGCCGCTGGACTTTAGCCGCTGTTTAGCCGCTTCTGGGCATTGATGCCGCGCCGCATGCCTGCTGAGGCCGCGATGTCCATCGCCTCTGTGAACCGCGCTGCAGTCTCCGCACTGCGGACCATTAACTCTTGATGTTTTCGTCAAACTGCAAGACTCTTTTTAGCGCATTTTCTCATTTATGAAAAAATGCACTATTGTGTTCGCCATGTCCGTCTGTCCGTCCGTCCGTCTGTCCGTGACCTCAAGTTTTCGTCGACGAGAAAATGCGCTCTCTGTCACTCACTGCAGTGAGTACTGAGTCATATTTTTTGTGATATTCATCACCAGTGTAGTTTTGTATTTCGTAGCAATGTTGCCAGCAAGAGGTTTGTCTTAAGGTTTCTATTGATTCACTGCTATTGCAGTACATGGACTTTATATTTGCAGGAATAACTTCTTTGTAAAATAGAAAATAATTCTTGTAAAATAGATTTTAACACGGTTGTACTCGTGATGCAATTAATTATTAAGTAAAAATTGTAAATTTTATTCTATTTCGATTGTTTGGTGAAGCATTCGTAGAGCTGCTGCTGGATAATAGCAAATTTCACATCACACGACACCTCTGATGTGAGCTTACAAAATACAATCAGGCACGACAATTGTTGAAGCCTAAAAGAATATAGATTAATTTACGTACGAGCAATAAAATTACGATTTCTTCAAATACTTTCAAATGCGAGTGTTAATTGAGTTATATCAGGCAGTTCGATGCATGTAATGTAGCACTTGTTTTATCATTCGTATAGATTTTAAGGTCATTAATTTCTACCTCACAATCATTACCTCATCATCGATGTTTTGATGTACGTATATGCGTAAATCTTTACGACGCCAAATCCCAACGAGGCTCAGTCAAATATTTTACGGCTCTGTTTGAGAAGAAGATCTATTCATTCAGTTTAAAGTAATTTTTTAGTCGTTTTTATCTCGATTTAAGGCATTGTCGTTCAACAGCCAGTCAAGCAAAATGATCTTCTTCGTCATCTTGGAAATTAAAAAATGTCGAAACTCGATTGGCTATAAGGAGTTAACGATGACGAATTCATCCACATCTTTGCAGAAGTTAGGCACTTGATAAAGTGTTGCGCGTGTGAGGTGCAACACGGACGGCGTTGTGTAAGCACCATCGTGTCTCAGGAACTTGTTACTGGATTTGTGCCGTTATTTTTATAACGGGAAGACACTTTTGA